GGGCTGAACACAACTAGAACATATGCTTCAGAAGGGCAGGAGCCTCATGTTTCTCATTTACTTGGCACCCTCAGTGCCCAGCCCTGGGGCTGGCCTACAGTAGGCTGTCAGTAAATACTAGCTGACCCAGGCAAGTGGTGGCCTCTGCCTGCCTCAGTTTCCCTTTTTTATTCTGCCTTGCTAGGCAGCGAGCTCTGTGAAAGCAGAGATGAGCCTAGTTTACCTGAGTCCTCGATGCCCAGAAAAGAGACTGGCACGTGGAGAGGGTCCATGAATGTGTAAACGACCAGAGAGCAGATAGATTGAGGAGTAAGTCATGTCCTAAGAGAGTCAGAGCTCACGATGCAGGCCCTCCCTTCTCCTCACCTCCCCTCCTCAGTAGGTCCCTTCCCTCCCTCTGATGGGTTTTGGATGGTCCTTTTCTCTGCCCCTGCTTGGTTAAAACTGGCCACCAAGAACCTCTGAGGCTTCCTGGCTGCGTCACTTTGGAAAAGTAACTTGACCTCTCTGAACCTCCACTCCCTCTTCTGTAAAATGCGGCTGATATGACTCATTGAAAGGATTTTTGTGAGGCTTGGTGCGGGGTTGCCTGGCATGGTCTGTGCCTGGCAGGTAGTGGGCACTTGTGCAGAAGCAGCCCCGCTTGTTGGCAGTGGTTGCCCCTCTGTCCATGGTGTGAGCTCTCCTATGAGCTGGCTGACCGACTACCGATTGACTGATGGAGGGGTGTGGGATGATCTTGGGCTGGGAGAGGAGGTGGTGGAGGGTTATGGTTCCCCTGAGGCCTGGCAACTGTCCCTGGCACCTTGCCCTCGGCTCTGTCATTCCATGTTCTTTCTCTTGCTGGGAAGGCACAAACTGTAGCTGGGGGCTTGGTGGAGACAGGCTCAGCTCCCCTGGAGAGCTGCTCTCCTGTCTCTCCCGCAGTGGGGAGCCTCGGAGTGTTCACACCAGGCTGCCCCATACAGGGCAGGAATAGCAGCTGCATAATGAAGGCCCCCAGGCCCTTTTAGCCTGTCACTCAACTCCCTGGGCCTCTAGACTTTAAAATGGAGGAAATACAGTCAGACTGAAGATTTACAGGTCTGAGGAGAGGAGCAAATGAGATGGTGTATATGAAAGCACTCCGGCCATTGCCACTCATGCTCCCCCCACGGGAGTGGGCAGCCTGCCCAGAGCCCCTCGCAGTGGGGGAGGCTGCCTGGTCCTGACACACGGTTGCTGTGGGATGTGGGCAAGTGACTCTCCTCTCTCAGCCTCAGTGTTCTCATCTGCAAAATGTGGGCAGCCACCCTTTCAGGTTCCTGGGTGGATCCACTGAGGCCACAGGATGGATTGTCTTTTATTATTGAGTTATGAGAGTTTTATATATTCCGGTTAAAATTCCTTATTAGATATATGAATTGCGAATATTTTCTACCATTCTATGGGTAATCTTTTTGTTAATGATGTTCTTTGCAGCACAAAAGGTTTTGATTTTTGATGGTGTCTAATTTATCTTTTTTGTTGTTGCTGTGATTATGGTGTGTTATATATATATGTGTGTGTTTTAGAAAAGAAAGCAAGAATTTATTGACTGCAGCAAAAACACGCTTAGGACAATGAAACAAGCACAGGCATAGACGGAGCAGCAGGAGAGCCCAGGCTGGGCTGCTTTGGCTCCCTGGGAAGGCAGAGAAAAAGGGACCTTGGAGACGGGGTCAGAGGGTAAGACCTGGATGAGCTTCCGCTGCCCAATCCTCCCCTGGTTGCAAGTCTCATGGGGCCCCTTAGAGGTTAGGATTAGTGTCATATTTAAAAAATGAATTCTAATGCCTGCTCTTAGGTCATTTCTTCTAAGAGTTTTATAGTTTTAACTATTACATTTAGGTCTATCATCCATTTTGAGTTAATGGGTGCGAGGAAGGAGTCCAGCTTCCTTCTTTTGTATGTGCTCGACCAGTTGTTCCTGTATCATTTGTTGAAAAGACGAAAAGACTGTTCTTTCCCCATTGAGTTGTCTTCACATCCTTTTTGAAAATCATTGACTGTAAATCTGAGGGTTTATTTTTGGACTCTCAATTCTATTCCATGAATTTATAAGTCTATCCTTATGTCAGTACCACACTGTTCTGATTACTGTAGCTTTGTAGAATGTTTTGAAATCAGAAATGTGGGTCTTCTAACATCGTTCTTCTTTTTTCGATATTGTTTGGCTATTGGGAGTAACTTGAATTTCCATATGAATTTTATGATCAGCTTGTCAATTTCTGCAAAGAAGTAGATTGGAATTTTGATGGAGCTTGTGTTGAACCTGAAGATCAATTTGGGGAATCTTGTCATCTTAACAATATTAGGTCTTTGCACCCATAAGCATGGGGTGTTTTCCCATTTACTTAGGTTTTCTTTAATTTCTTTCAACAATATTTTGTAGTTTTAAGAGTATAAGTTTTCTAGTTTTTTGTTAGTTATCCCTAAGCATTCTTTTTGATGCTGGTGTAAATGGAATGATTTTATTAATTACATCTTGAAGTGTTCATTGCAAGTGGGTAGAGATACAATTGACTTTTGTGTGTTCATCTTGTATCTTGCAACCTTGCTGAACTCATTTATTAGTTATATATATACTAGATTCCTTAGGATTTCTTCTTTCTTTGCCATATGGATGCCTTTGTTCCTGCCTGAGTGCCGTGGCTGGGACCAAGGCCCTCAGGCAAGAATGAATAGAGGTGGTGAAGAGCAGGTATCCTTGTCTTGTTCCTGATTTCAGTCTTTCATCACTGAACATGGTACTACTGTAGTAAGGCTTGTTTCGGTGTTTCCTGAGATGTTGGCTGGTGACAGCCTCACTACTAGCTATATATGAGAAGTACCCCCGTTCCCTACCCCCTTGCAACACAGTAACCCCAAGTTTTCGAGGTGAGAAACCTAGGACCAGGGAGGGAAGGTGCTGCATGCCTCATCACACAGCTGCTCAGCTGCTACGGTCCAGCTGCCCATAGTCACTGGGGAATGAGCCTCCTGGACACCCAGTCTTCCCCCCCCTGGTGGGGATGCCTTGAGACCCACCAAGAGCAGCCACTGGTACAGAGAGAGGCCTGGAGGTCTGGGTTCCGTTCTGGGTTCAGCCACTGACTTGCCGTTATGACCTTGGGCCTCAAGTTTCCCAGCAGTGAGATGGGAGGGGTGGTACATTTTGAAATCCTCTAGTCCTGACCACCCACCCTTAAACCTAGTGGCCACCAGAGGGCGCCACAGACCGGCATTTGGCCCAGCTTGCACGGGGTCCTGGGGAAGCTGAAAGGGTGTTTCCAGGAGCCACTAGTTTTGCTTTCATGGGCTTCCTTGTGGCTAGACCTGCCCAGGCTCTCTGGCTGAGCCCTGGTCGCTAAGGAGGGAGAACAGAGATATTGCCCCCAAAAGTGACCTTGCACTCATCCCTGCCTGCTTTGGGTTGGCTGCCTAAGGCCAGGGATCCCAGCGTCAGGGTCAACAGCCTTGAGTTTGTCAGCCTCAAAAGGTTGTCTCTGGGCCTCTTACAGGCACCGCATTCTTTCCCCACTGCAGCAGGAAGCCCCCGTCCTGGTGGGTGCCTGGTGTCCTGGAAAGGGCACATCACCCCACTTCAGATGTGGATGGGCCCTGCTGGGGGTCCTGGACCACAGCATCCCCGATCCCTGGGTACCTCAAGTGACAGACCCCAGAACCACAGAAGCAGGCACCATGGATAACAGGGACCTCCTGGCACTTACCAGAGCAGAGTATCCGACCCACTTTGTGAAGGGCTCTATCAGCCCCCTGCAGGCTCCCCCAAGTCTGATTTTACCCTCTAAGTACAAGCAGAACCTTTGTTTTGCAAATCAAGCTCCAAGACAGAATAGCATTTCTCAGCCCCTTGCTCAGAGGGTTGCCTGGAGGAGACCCGGTGCTGCGGAAGTTGCCTTCTCGGAGGGCCTCATTCTCTCTCCTTGTGTGTTTTCTCTCCCCTCCCAGACTGGTTTTCCTTGAAGGCAAGTGAGCCTCACATTCTCCTCAGTTCCTCCAATGGTGGATGGCTCAGGACTTGGGGTCCAGTAGAAGGTCAACAAATGTCACCGTGGGGCACCCCCAATTCCCTCCTCTCCTCCCTCTCAAGGGTCCCAGGGCTGCCTTTGTCCCTTCCTTAGCTGTACAGCTTTGGGCCAGTCACCTGACCTCTCTGAGCACCCACTGTGTTTTCTTCTTTGCTGTTGTACTTCCCTCAAAAGGTTGCCAGAGTTGGGGAGAATGTGAGAGCCCACGTATGAAAGGTGACATGCTCCCCCTGTGTTGGGTCAGGGGTGTCACATGGAGAAGAGGTGGGTGGAGGGCCGCACCTGCCCAGGTGCCCCAAGTTGTCAAATTACAACGAGGACATTTCCTGGCTTGTTCTATGGACCAGACACTGTGCTGAGTACCTCACCTGGATTCTCTCTCTTGATCGCCTCAGTGACCCTCTGAGTAGGCAGAATTACTGTCCCCAACTTTGCAGATGGGGAAACTGAGGCACAGAGCAATTAGCTACAATGGGGTCACACAGCTGGCAAATGGTGGGGCTGGGACTGGTACCCAGATGTCTGGTCCCTGGAGCCCATGCTTTTAGCCACTGAGCCCTTTAAGCTGATGTGGGGCGGGGACAGGCAGCTCTGGGGTCTTTCTGTGACTACACAGGGACCTCCAGGGGTCAGAGAGCATTAGTTCCAGTCTTCCCTTTTCCAAACTGGGGTGCTGAAGCCAGAAGGAGCACCATCTCTGTCTCTGTCTCTCTCCCACAGGGCATCTGGGGCAGAGCAGGACCCTGACTAACATCAGGTGTTGTTACAGCAGAAAAATTGGGTGGTGCCTAAACCCCCAAGAGTCTCAGAATCTAGAGCTCTAAAAGTCACCTTGGGGTCTCATTCCCACGGCCAGCCTCCATCTTGGTTGGACGCATTGTCCAATTTGGGGTCTTGGGAGTGGGGGGGAGGGAGTACCTGAGAGGCTCTAAACGAACCCCCCTCCAGCCCAGGCCCTGAGCACCAACACGCCCCTCCTCTCAACACCGGGCCTTATCAGGAAAGCAATTTGGGTTGGTGGGGAGGGGGAAGTCCGAGGCCTCCGGCTCTGGCAAGGTGGGAAGGAGAGATAGGGAAGTGGGGAGGGGCTGGGGCCTGCTGGGAGGCCTGAGGATGGAAGGCATGCCCAGAGCCAGCATGGTGGGGGGCTTGCGCCAAGGCTGTCCTTGCTGGCCTGGCCCCTCGACATGGATCCATGCTGCTCCTGCCTCCCCTGCTTGCCAGGCAAGACGCCCGCATCTTTAATTAGCGAGCAGCAGCCTCTCCCGATTCATCACAGTCACTGTTTAATTAGCCGCGCACAGGGCGCCCCTACCCCCCAGCTCTGGGTTGAGCAGCCGCCTCTCTCACGGATGCTGCCACCACCTCCTGGTGTCCCCTATCACCCCCCATACTTACTCTGCTCCCCAGACTGGGGGATGGGGCAGGCACGCCTGGCTGAAACCTCAAGGAGGTTCTGGGCACTGACGCTTGTATTCAAGGCAAGGCATCGGCAAACATTATTAGGGCCTCCGGGCTGCTCCAGGCTGGCACTGGGCAGAGCCCAGGCTGGACAGAGGCGGCTGGCCTCCGTCCTATCTAACTGCTCAAGAATGGCTTTTCCCTTTGGGAGGTGCTGGGACCTCTCTCCAGCTGGTCCCAGAGTGCTGGGAAAAGACTGTGATAATCCTCCATGTTGCTCACACCCCACATCCAGGAAGGAATGACCATTCCCCACCCCACCCCCCTGCCAGAGCCCAGCAGGGTCCCCTGAGAAGGCTGCACCCTGTGGGATGTTGAGAGCCCATCCCCCAACCCTGCCTCCCCCAGTAGCTAGATCCTGGAGGCCCGGGACAGGCAAAGGGAGATGGTGGGGGTCCCAGCCCCTGGCTGTGTCTGCAGGGCCCTGGGAGTCAGGGGCACAGGAGTGAGCCCCAGTCTGTGACTGAACCAGCTGCCCTGTTTCCCTGAGGCCCTGGGAGAGGCCCCACAGCCTTCTGGGCAGAGCCAGGGCAGCCCCCGCCTGTAGCCGCCAGCTGGAGGCAGGAGCTCAGGTTCCATCCCGGCCCCGCGCCCCGGTTTGTCCTGTGGCTTCAGGCAAATCAGCTGCGCTGGGCCTCAGGGTCCTGGCAGAGCAGCGTGCGGACAGGCGAAGGGCCGGCCTTCATCCTGGTGCCCGAGGAAGGGGCTGGAGCCCGTCCACTCCGGCATTGACCATCCACGTAGCCTTGGCCAGCTACCAAACTGTGTTGTGCCTCAGTCTCCCCACAAGTAGTGGCTATCTCGTGGGTTGTCGCGAGGAGTAGACGGTTTGCAGTGTTTAATGCACTCAGAGCAGCGCCTGAGGGAGAGTCCTCAGTAACTGTTGGCTGTTTTTGCCGCTGTTCCCTTCCTTGTGCATCAGTATTTACTGCCAGGCATGAGGGGCTGGTGGCAAGGGAGGCAACTGCTTTTCAGAGTTTTCCTTCCCATGGGGAGAGCAGCTGAAACAAGTAAATAAATCAGGGAAAAATGCAATTTCATCTGAAGAACTCTGCAGTTTAGTTGAGGGTAATTCGCCAGAGTTAATTTCTTAGTTTTGACAAAAGTACCACAGTTAGGTCGTGGGCATTAGGAAAACTGGGTGAAGTGTATATAGGAACCCTCTGTACTTTTTTTTACAACTTTTCTGTGAATCTAAAATTATTCCCTCAAGAAAGTTTATTTAAAAATATACAATTTTGGGTAATGGTACAAACCACAGAGAAAATAAACGGGCAAGAGATATAGAGAAGAGGCTGTGGGCCGTTTTATACAGGATGGTCTGGGAGGGCCTCTCTGAGGAGGCAACACTTGTGAGAAACTGGTTAAGGGGAAGGAGCCAACCTGGAGGAGATCAGGGAAGGGCCCGACAGGAGGAGGGAACAGCTAGCACAAAGGCCTGGAGGCAGGAATTGGCTGAGGAGGTTTGAGGTCCGCGTGCAGGGCGGGAGGGGCTGGGTGGCTGCTGAGCTCTGAGAAGGAGGCAGCTCTCCTTCAAGCTCATTTGTCCTTTCAAAGGACAGGAAGGAGGAGGGAGACTCTGGGCCGGAAACTGTATCTAGCACTTTCCATGAATTGGTACCTCATTTTAGTCCTTCCAGTTACTCTGTAGGGGAGGTACCGTCATCTCACTTACAGGTGAGATGGTGGAGGAGCGGCCATCAACCCACGTCACCTGGTAAGCGACAGGCCTATGCTTGGAAGGAGAGACTTCATGGACCTTGAGGCTGCACTGGGGTCTTACTGGGAGTCAGGGCCAGGACAAGGCCTGGGTGTGGCTGCAGACAGGTGGGCCGAGCTGGGAGCAGGGACACCCAAGACATGGGGGCCTCTGGCCAGCATGAGACCGTGTGTCAGGGCAAGAAAGCATCTTTGTACGAGTTACATAGTCAGCCTCAGTAATGGTCACATTACACGTATGTCATACAAAATTCTGAAGGTACAAAATAACATATAGAGACAAGTTTGGTCCCCTGCCACCCACTTTTCCTCCCCAGAGATGCCCTCTGGGGCCTGTTTCTTGTGCATCCTTCCAGAGCGAGTCTGGCTGGCAGCACCTTGACCACTCCACCAGTAAGCGATCAGCCTGCCCTGAGGGCCTGCCTGCTGGGCACCACCTGCCAGAAAGCCCTAGTCGTCTGCCAGCCCTTGCTGTACGTGTATCGAGCTCTCAGTTTTAAATTGGAGCCAACTGAGGCACAGGCAGGGTGAGTCACTCACCCAAGGTCACACAGCTAAGAGGGTTTGGACTCTGGGTCTCTCTGGTGGCATTGTATAGACGAGAAAACTAAGGCATGGAGAAGCTGAGTAGCAGCCCCAGGTGACCCAGGAGGTCAAGGGGCCAGGACTTGAGTGAGTCTGGCAGTCTCGCTCCAGAACCCACAGCCCTGACCACTGCTCTGTACTGGGAGAAAGGACCCCAAAAAACCTGGAGTCAGACCTGGGAGTGATGACCATCACTGCCTAGATGCATGACCTTGGGCAAGTCACTGCCTTTCCTGTCACCTGGCTGCCCAGCCAGGAAAAGAGGAAGCCTGCCTCTCAGCTGGCTTAGGGATGAGCTGAGCAGTGGGAGAGGTCTCTGGTGCAGAGTGGTGGTCAGGACTGGCCTCTCCCATGGCCACTTCCTGTGATGGGCAGGAAGATGGGTGCTGCCAGCTGGACATTTCAGGGAGCCAAACACTCAAGGTGGCGCCTTCCTTCCCTCCAGCTGTGCAGACAGCAGGTGAGGGGCCTCCCCAGAGAGGAATAAGTGGAGCCCCCTCCCCTTCCTTGACCTCCTACCCAGCTCACAGCCATGCTGCTGAGCCAGGAATTCTTGGAGTCAGAAGAGGGAAAGAGGTTTCCAGAGGTTTTTTCCAAAGGTGATGAACCCGGTCCTTAACCCCAGCCCCAGGCGGCAGTCATGTGGAACAGGACACAGAGAAGGAGGCTGCGGTCAGGAGCGGGCAGAATGACAGAGATAAGCACCCAGCGGGGTGCTGGCTCAGACTGGGTTTCCAGGGAGGTCTCAGATGCAAAGAGGGCCTGGGGACTACCTATGGAGTGGGTATGGAATGATTGTGGAGCACCTGTTGGTGACCTGAGCCGGGCTGCCACAGAAGGCACAGTGGAGTGGAGAGTGCTGGGGCTGGGGAGGCAAAACCAGGCTTGGGTTTGAATCCCAGTTCTGTGGCATTCCTGGGCTTGTTAATTCACCACTGTGAGTCTCAGTTTCTCCATCTGTAAAATGGGGTTGTTATCAGAATTGAGATCTCCTCATAATGCTAGAGCTTCTGACACAATGCATGATACGTAATTGGTGCTCGATAAATGTCATTCTCCTCCATTGACTGGCTGATTAATCTCATTTTCCAAACTCCACAGGGCCTGGAGACAAACTTTGGCACTTGTCCCGTGCTCACACAGCCGTCTGGGGGATGTACTTTAGTTGCCAAGTGTTGGAATTGCTGAAACATTTAGAGGGAGATGGGAGAGACCATTTGTGGCCCTGCTAGTGGGGCCTCCTGGTCATCGGACCTCCTCTGCAGGTGCCAGGAGACTCCTTCCTGATCCTACACACACCTCCCTTGCCTGAGGCTGAGCTGGCTCTGCCCACAAGGCTTCTTTTTGGCAACTCTCTTTTCTAGAAGGTTCCTGGAAGACGCTGCCTTCTGTCCTGACAATGTTCTGGGTGTTCCGTCTGGTCTGTGGGAGCTGGAGGCGGCTGCAGGGGTGGAAGGCAGCTGGGCCAGTCCTAACTGCTGCCCCCGAGGGGTCCTTCCTGCTCCCATCCTCTCTGACCCATGGAGCTGGGCTGAGAGCACATCACACAGGCTGGCGCTTTCCCGTGGGTGAGTGTGAACGTGCTTGAAACACTGGAAGGGCCTTTTCAAAGGCAGAGATGATGAGTTTTAGAAAACCGTCTGTCTTTTCTGTGAGGCAGAAACCACGAGCTAGAAATGACCTTGACCATCAGTGTTTTTCTGGGAGGATGTTAAATTGGTATTGGGTAGAAAAGGGCGTTCGTGCTCAAATAAGTTTGGGGAACACCAACTTAAACATCTGACAGGGCCTTCTCTGCAGGACTTCTCGGAGCCTTTCCTGTGCGTCTGTGAAGTTCTGAGAGGCAGCGGCTCCACCTGCGCCAGCAGCCAGGCCTATTTGATGTGTCCCTTGCAATTGTCCCGAGCACCTTGGGAGTTTAGAGGGCTATGAAAGCCACTTTGGGAAATGCCAAAATAGTTGAAAATGTCCCCTTCCTCCACGTACACAGCTGGAGGCATCTTGGGGACTCTGGAGGTCTCGGGGAACATGGGTTTAAATAAGTTTAAAGGATTCAGAGGATACTCCAGCCTTTAATTTAAAGCTAAGATTTTAATTCTCATTTTACCTGTATTCACGCATTTCATTTCCACGACGTCCCTGTAAAGTAAGCACGTGGTCCGCTCCGTCTTCAGGTCAATAGACGGAGACAGAGAGGCAGTCCTTGCCGAGACTCGCAGCTGGCGCGTGGTAGTGCTGGGACTTGAACCCCGGCTGCCTGGGTGAGGGCTCCTTCACAACCGCCGTGAGCCTGCCTTCACCACGCAGGCATGCAGAGCGCCCCAGCCCCGGTCGGCAGGCGCACACTTAAGCTCCTGTCTGGGGGTGAAGATTCCTGCAAGCAGCAGGTCTCAGGTGTTAGGAGAGCCTGTGGCTTCCATTTCACAGGGTGACAGTTTTCCAGCTCTTTGGATTCCAGAGCCTGGGGACGCCCGCTGGGCGAGTCCTGCTCTCCACAGCCTCCCCC